CCATTAAAAAGAATTCATTTGAATCAGTTCTAATGAGATGGATGAAACTGGAGCCCATTATACAGAGCGAAGTAAGCCAGAAAGATAAAGACCATTACAGTATACTAACACATATATATGGACTTTAGAAAGATGGTAACGATAACCCTATATGCAAAACAGAAAAAGAGACTCAGATGTATAGAACAGACTTGTGGACTCTGGGAGAAGGCGAGGGTGGGATGTTTCAAGAGAACAGCATTGAAACATGTATATTATTTAGGGGGAAACAGATCACCAGCCCTGGTTGGGTGCATGAGACAAGTGCTTGGACCTGGTGCACTGGGAAGACCCAGAAGGATCGGGTGGAGAGGGAGGTGGGAGGGGGGATCGGGATGGGGAATACATGTATATCCATGGCTGATTCATGTCAATGTATGACAAAAACCACTACAATACTGTGAAGTAATTAGCCTCCAACTAATAAAAAAAGAAAAAAAAAGAAGAAAAAAAAAAGGTAAATCATGTTCATCACAGAAAATGTCTTGTGTACAAAAGTACCCAACAAGCAGTGGGGGACGGGATCCCAAACCCTGGCAAGACCTCATCTCACAGAGTCAACATAAGTCTTCTACCTTTTCTCTCATCTTCTTACTATGTGTTACTAGTTGAAAGTGTGCTGTATTCTCTAATTTGCAGCTTGCCGAGAATGGATGGAGACATTTACGTGTGTGTGCGTGTGTATAACTCCATCCATTCTCCTACCTATGTATGCACAATCAGTTTTAATCAAACACCCATTCATGGAAGTCAGAGGTCACTAGCGTGACTTAGACTTCATCCCTGGCAGAAGTATAAAGAGGCACAGTTTTTTTGAAAAAGGAGTTGGCAGTGCAGCTTGTATTTCAAAATCTCAAAAAGCTCTTACTCTCTGGGCCAGTAATACTGTTTTTGGAGTCTTTCCTAAAAAAAAGCAATGAAAAAAAAAAGGCAAGATTTACCTACACAAAATTATATGCTGTAGCATGATTTATAATTGTAAAAACACTGGTAACAAGTTCAATATTCAGAAATAAGAGGACAGTCTGGTAAATGTATTTGAAGAATATTTTGTTATCAATTAAACTTTCAAAGTTATGCATATAAAGAGCATTTATTTACATGGAAAAATGCTTATGACACAACATTAGGACAACAAAGCAGGATACCAAATTATAAATGCAGTATGATCTCAATTATCCTTATGAAACAATAAACCCCCAAACAAGGAAACAAAAACCACTAACCATGTTATCTACCAGTGGGTTATGGGTGATTATTATTCTATTACCTATGTTTATCTGTCTTTTCCAAGATTTCTAAGATGAACATGAGTTTTATAATAAAAAAATGTTTAAAGATTTAAAAAGTTACATACAAGCCAGGGCCAGTGAATGATCTTGTCCAGTCTTAAGGCAATGAATATAAACTGGAGAATGTTGACAGAACACAGGATTTCTAACTAAAAATGAAGAGAAGAATCAGTTAAACAAAGTAACAGTTTTATTCAATACAACAGTTGCTTGGTTAACATTTTAAAAAGGCAATGCAAATTATAACGCAGCAAAAGTTTTATTACATCACACTTGGAATCTCCTGATTTTCAGCAGAGAGGAGCAAAGCAGTTCTATGCCAAGGAGAAGCCTTGTGTCCTGTCCTCTCTGCTCGGTGGCTGCTTGGCCCTTTAAGCTCGTCCACGTAGTGACCTGTTTCCAGGCTTGCAATCTAGAGGCAGTCTTTGCTGGACTCCCCAGCTCCCTTCCTGGCCCTGACCACAGGCATCTATGTTAGGATGGTTCCTAACCATCACTGTCCTGCCTTCTTCTTGTGTTGGGACTCTGCCTGCACCCCACACTTTCCTTTCTGGATCCTGGGGGACCTTGTCACATCAAGATGCCATTCATGGATGCTTTACTGCATCTTGAACCCTGCCATGCCATGGATGCTTCCTGCAAGCACATGTTCAACCCATCTCCATTAGACACAAAATGACCCCAAGACCAAATGAACCCACACTTCTCTTGATCCAGTAACCCTACCAGCCCTAGTTCTTTCTTTCCATCACCACAGAGCTTTGTGAGACACCATGGACATTCGAGTCTCCATGGCCTCCCCTGCCACTCCAAGCTCCAGGGTCCACTGTGCACTGGCCTCTGTCCCCGCAACCACCTGGAAATTGCTTTCCTCCAGGTCCTCAGTCACTTCTGCAGCCTTGGGGACACTGCCACTGGCACCCAACTGGGCGCTGCCACACCAAGTGACACTGCCCACCACTCTTCCCTCGTTGAGGAACCCAGTGTGTCGTCTCGCCAACCTACCGGTCTCTGAAACTTCCCTGTCAGGTGCCTTTTCCTGTTTTTAAATGGTGATGGCCCCTGAAGTCTGCCTTCTCTACCCACTGGAGAGACACAGACACAAACATGCATGCTTTCTTGACTCTGTTGCTTCATTCTGGGTGGGGAGCAGAGTCAGTCTCCACACCTTTGGCAGGCACACCCTCTTCCTGCTCGCTTCTGCAACCTCCGTCTCCACTGCAGCCTTCCTGCCAAGGCCCAGAGTTGGCTCTCCCTGAGGCACTTCAGTTGAAGGCCATCCCCTAGGGAGTCGATCATTCCCCACACCTGGCCTCCTTCACCCTGTGCCATAGCTTCCCATAGCCTCCTGTTTCACCGGGAGCCACCACAGCCTGGATTCCCCAAATCAGGACACGGGTGCACAGCTGCATTCCCTTCCCCATGCTCTAAGCTCAGTCACTGCCTGTGTCCTCCACCATGCAGACTTCTCTAGGGTCCCTAGCCCAGTCTCTGTCCCAGTGCCCCACAGGTGGCCCTCCTGCTGGCTCCAGCACTTGCTGCTCTTCAACAGCTCACCACCACCCACAGAACGAAAATCACAGGACACTACCCAACCTGGCCCAGGGCTGCCCCAAAGCTCCCAGTTCCCTGGGCAGTTAGGGAACTGTCAGTTAGTCAGCCATTCCTTCCAAGGCCTATGGGCTAAAAGAAGCATTTAATGGTTCCACTGATTTAAGTCATTAGATCTAAAAGGAATACTGATGTCCTACGTAGCCCCCTGTAGATTTTTGCACAGCACTGCCTTCATCACAGAGAAAGTCAACATCCTAGACTCTTCTATGACACCACTGAAATGAATATAGTGTGACCTAACAATAAAATCCAAACTATGTGGAGCTAGTAGTTCACTGTGTGTCCCCACAGATGTCAGGGATCACTGCTTCTCCCTCAAAAATGCCCAATATCCCATGGTGCCCTGTGAGCACCCTGTGATGCCCTGGACAGCTGGGCACCACCTTGAAGACTAAGGACTGGCCCTTAGTCAGCCCAATCCCTCTCTACAGCCTGCCCACTTCTCCCTAGTTCCTTCATTTACACTTTATGCTCCAGGCATTTTTTTGTGGAAAAATACAAATAATGTAAAACTTACCATCTTAATTCTCTTTAAGGGTACAGTTTAACAGTATTAAGAAATATATTCATATTACTACCATATGACTATGGCTGTGAAACCATCACCACTTTCCATCTCCAGGACTCTCTGCATCTTGCAAAACTATGCTCCAGTCAAATCTGAGCCACTGGTTCACTCAACATAACAGACTTTCTTCTACGTCTATGGCTTCTTATGTGTTACTTCCTCTGCCTGAAAAATACCATCCCCTTTCCTATCTGCACAGGGCACCCTGCCACACCCTGACTCCTCCTGCATGACCCTGGGGGAGCCTAGGCCCACTAACCCCTAGCCAACGAGTACTCCTCTTCCTGGGACACAAGAACCAAGAGGGGGCTCAAGTCTTGGCACGTGGTTTCTTCTCACAGGTAGATTGCAAAGAGTGTGACCCTATGAGCGACATATTTTCTAGAACTCTGCATTAGGAAAATATGGTTTTATGCCTAGTATAGTTGTAGCCCTGGTATATGCTTTCATTTTCTAAGAAACAAAGTTCCAAATTTTTAGCTTTCTTTAATCTCTTCCTCAGCTCCCATCCAACAGTATTTACATAACTTTCTCAGTGCTTTTCAACCTGGATAATGCTGCTTGCCTGGGGAGGAGCTAGGAAATGTGCACAGAACCTACTGGATGTGACAATAACCTGTGGGAGCACATCCACTAGTGCTTACTAGGCAGACATCAGCAGTAAGTGACCTGAAATGCAGGGGACAGTCCTGCTCAAGAAGACATTTCCTATCCCAAAGGCCAACAGCATATCCAGCCCCCACTGAGAAACACTGCCCCAAATAGGCAAAATCTAGCAAGTTTAATGTCAGTGATTTTGTTTAATATACAAATGATTTTTAAACCGTGGTATTGTTACTTCATTTGCTCAGATAATACAAAAGAATGTGAAGCAAGAGAGGCATAAGGTGGAAAGGTAAGTGTGACTGGCTGGAAATGGTACCTTCAACAAATACTGGAAATACAATTTGGGGGAAGTGAGGTAGGAGCCTGGAGCTCATATGGAAATCAGAGTTGAGAAATGCAGATTCAGGAAGTGAAAACACAGAAGTGGCAGTGGAGGCAGGAAGTGTGAACAAGTCCATTCAGAGGAAGTGTGCACAGGGAGGACAGAAAATGCCCAAGGTTAGGATCATGATGTTGGGAAAGATTGAAGGCAGGAGGGGATGACAGAGGATGAGATGGTTGAATGGCATCACTGACTCGATGGACATGAGTTTGAGCAAGCTCTGGGAGTTGGTGATGGACAGGGAAGCCTGGCATACTACAGTCCATGGGGTTGCAAAGAGTTGGACACAACTGAGTGCCTGAACTGAGGATCCTAAGAAACAGTGACTTGTGAGGAATAGATGGAAGAAGAATTCAGTGAAGAAGCTGAATACAGGCTGAGGTAGCTAGATTGGTGTAGGGACCCAGAGTGTCAGGAGCTGCACAGTGGTCAGCGAGATGAGGGCTCCAAAGGCCTCCAGATGAGGCTGCAGGACACGGGGGCGGGGTGGTGGTGGTGGTGCAGTGCCAAAGCAGGCAGTGTGGCTGTAGTACTTGGTCATTTAATCAAAAAAATAGTCTAGGTATTGCTGTGAGGGTACTGACTTTAACTAAAGGAGATTCCCCTCAATGGTATGGCTAGATCTCATCCAATCAGCTAAAGGGCCTTAGGAGCAAAGACCACTGTTTTCTGGAGAGGGAGAAATCCTGCTGAATCTCCAGCCCCCATAAGCACGTGAGCCAGCACCTTCCAATAAGCCTCCTATGTGAACACCTATCTACATATCTGCATCTACATCTCCATCTGCATCTATCCTATTGGGCCTGTTTCTCAGGAGAAGCTGGCTGATCCAGGTGGACAGGGAAAAAGACATGAAGCAGGAAGAAGCCTGATGGCCTGAGTAAAAAACCAATGTTTAAGTCAAGAAAGAGAAACACGACTATTTCCATTGTCTTTCATTTCCTTATATACCACGACCTAGCATTAGTGATCAACCTCTTCTTCACGGTAACTGATCAAAAGATTCTGATTTTTAAAACCTTCCTAAATATATGAAATCTTACCTCCAGCGACCTGTCATGGCGAAAGCCCCAAACACAAGCTGCCACAGACACGGGAGAAACGAAGAAGAGTGGCATGAAGACCAGGAGCCAGAAGTGGCTTCCTCTCTCAATTCTGTCGCACACCAGCACTTCAAACATCAGCAGCAGCAAGTGGATGCCCACTGCAATTAGCATGGCTTTGAACTCCACACACGTTTCCCCTTCTGCTCTAAAGAGGGACAGAAGAAGAAGAAGAAAAAAATATCCTCAGTTCAGAATCTCCATAGTGAGCAAGCAGCCCAGCACACCAACTTACATGGATACTCTGGATTGTATTTGTAAATCTGACAAAAGGCAAAGGGAAATCAGGTAGAAAGCTAAGTTAACATTCCTCTTTAAGGGGCAATCTTTCAAACATCAAAGAACTACTACATAACAAGAAATGAACACTTACAACCAAACCAGACTTAAGAGTTTTAACTGAATATTCTCAGAAGCAATACCACAGTTGTTATTCCCTGACGGTGTACATTAACATTTTTGTTCATAAATTTAAAGTCAACTACTTCCAAGATTATTTAAGCTAAAACCATGTAGATCACATTTCATGCAATACAATAAAAAAACTCTATCGTTTTATTGCATAAGTGTATGTTATATTTCAAGAAAATATAGCAACTGTTGTTAGGTGCTATTTTAAAATGCAAATAAAATTATGAATGTTATTTTCCTTCCTATTCCATTAGGATAAACTAACACCTGCAGATGCTAAAGAAGAACCATTAAAACTATTCTTTAAATCAGTTTAAGCTGCTTACGGATCATGCATGGACTTAATAGGGTAACAATTAAAAAATAATAAGGCCACTAATTAGGAAAATGGTTAAAAATGCATCTGCAAGGCAAACAATGCACCTAATTCAACATACAGGTGAACATCTGTGATGCATCATGTTGGTGTGACTTTAGGACACAGAGAAAATGAGGTCAGAAGTTATGTTCTGTAAGACCCAACAATGTTCCACTGGACAATGTTGATGCTAGAATGACCATGTCTATACATTCAGGACATTCAACTACACACATACAATTCCTTTTCTTAAGGGAATTTTGAAAGGTATCTTAAACCAGGTCAAATAGTTTCTAAACAATTAGTGGAACTTAAACTGTTTAGCAATTTCACTTTTCATTTTTGGAGTAGCAAAGGTTGTTGTTAAGTCACTAAGTCATGTCTGACTCTTTGTGACCCTATGGACTGCAGCATGCCAGGCTCCTCTACCCCTTACTATATCCTGGAGTTTGCTCAAACTTATGTCCATTGAGTTGGTGATGCTATTTAACTGACATTAGAAAAGACCCTGATGCTGGAAAGATTAAAGGCAAAAGGAGAAGGGGGCAGCAGAGAATGAGCAAACATTAGATATCTGAAAATATCTCATAAAAAAAAAAGATCTGTGGCCACACATGTAATCTTAAAGAAAAAATCTAAGAATCTAAGAATTTTAAAAAATCTAAGTCCCCCATCTGCTAAGGCTCTCTGTGTGGCTATTTTCAAGTTCTTAGGTACATATGTGGTAAGATATTTTAGATGATCTAAATCTTATTTTTAAAATTCATAATGAAGATTTAAACAAGTTGAGATGGTCCCAACTTATACACTCTTCTCATATGAGCAGCTGCATGTGTCCCCCTCTTCTCTCCCCACCTGCCTACTGGGCACTGTCACTTCTTATCTGCCTGGTGATGGTTTAGAATAGCCCTCTCCAAGTCTCCCCTTTTCCTTTCCAAAGTGGCAGACTTTGCAAGGGAGAGCAGAGAGACTCTTGTGGGCCCCAGCAGCAGCAGCAGGGTGTGCACTGGAGTTAAGCCCATGACAGGAACTTGGACCCACTGAGGCATCCAAGAAGGTGTGAGGGGAGGGGGTGAAGGTAAAGAGTACACCTCTTCCTGGCCCCCAGGAGTCAGGAATAGCCAGGAGCTATTCTCCTTCACAGCATCTGGGTCTCATCTTTTCCAGTCTCAGGGCCTCACTGTGTCCTGGTCAAGCTGCTTCTCCCACACCACTAACAGGCCTAAAATCCCAGGACTAGGAGATTGGGTAAGGGGAGACCCAGTTCCAGGATTAATGGAGAAGGATATATCCCTGATGGCCAAAACTAGAACTTTGATTTGTAGAACTGCTCCTACAAACATGATGGTTCCATACTTCCTTGTCTAGCATGGTGTAACAGTTCTATATTTTGGATGCATTTTAGATTACATAAGCTTTTGTGGGCTGGCTAGGAACTTAAGTACCTAAAGTAACAGTGCTTTTGTTTAACAATGGCTATCAAACACTTAATTTTTAAAAAACTTAGAACAGAAATGAGCTTGCTTGTATTATAGCTCTTCTAAAACCTCTGAAAGGTAGAAAAGAAAATGCTCCTTACTTTATGATAAGTGAAAAACAAGATAATCCCCCCTGTACCTGCCCAGTGTAGAGACCAACAGGTTTTATAAAGCAGTATTACCGATACTGGGGATTTCGTGCCCAGACTCCAGTTCCAACTGAGGCTCCAACAATGACCATTAACTTCCACAGCCATATTGGAGCAAAAACAGCCCAGTAACTCCACTGAATGATGCCATCTAGACGAAGGGCCAGCAACACAGAGAACAGCAGTAGACAGGCATAGATGAGGAATTTACTAGGAGAAAAACAAAACAATTAAAGAAGATTCACATTACAAATAAGCGATATTAAAATGAGGTATGATAACAGCATTACTTTTTAGCATGTGAAAAGAATCACCAATTCAATAATCATATATTGAAAATTCTATGTAGAAAACATACTATTGTTAGAGAATAAGAGAAATATAAAGAAGACTAAAACAAGTTCCCTGCTTTCCAGGGCTTCCTGGTAAGACAAGTCCATACAGGAACATATATAACATGCATATGTCAGAATGATTCTATGGGTAGAATGTGATGGCAGCCCACAGAGGAAACATGGATTCTGTCTGGGGGGACTGGGAAGCACAGAAGTGATAAGCCTGAAGCTGGTCTGGAGGACACATGGAAAGCTACCAGGCAGGAAAGGATATGAGATAAGGAAGCATTCCAAGCAGAAAGAACTAGCCATCAAGACATGGAGACTGAAAAAAGCTGACAGTTCAAGATATGGTCAAGTTCTGTCACTAATTATTTGATTCTATTTTTAAAAAAGTAGCCACCTGCCATATTCATATACAGTAATATTTTAATCCATGCGTTAGTCTTTTGGTGACTGAATTATACACATAGATACACTCATATTTTATATAAAACAGACTTCATGAAGAGGATGTTTTAAAAATATTAATTAGAAATTACATTGTTAAGGACTTCTACTTACAACTTTGGTAGAATAAGAGGAATGGAGTTAAACTTCCCACCTTAAAAAGAAACTGGATGAAATATATGAAACAACAGTTTTCAAACACTGGGCAACAGGCAGTGAAGGACCATGATGGCAGAAAGAAATTTTTAAAAAAAGGAAATAAACTCTATCAATGCCCCAGCTGACTGCCTGGAGGCAAATTCCAGACTGCAGTAAGAAGGCAGTTAAAATCTAACCCTATTGTCAATTACATCAAATGTAAATGTTCTCTGTGTGTGTGAAAGTTGCAGAGTCATGTCCAACTCTTTGCGACCCCATGAACTGTAGTCCACCAGGCTCCTCCGTCCATGGAATTCTCCAGGCAAGAATACTGGAGCAGGTTGCCATTTCCTACTTCAGGAGATCTTCCTGACCCAATGCTTAGTAGAAAATATCTCAAATCAACAATCTATGATCCACCTTAAGAAACTAGGAAGAGAAGGAAATTTTTAAAACACGAATGGAACTCAATAATAAATATATACACAAATATCAATGAACTACATAAGAAAGATGTTGGAGAAAAATCAATGAAATTAAAAGCTGGTTCTTTAAAAAGATTAAAAAAAAAGCAGAGACATTACTTTGCTGACAAAGGTCCATCTAGTCAAAGCTGTGGTTTGTCTAGTAGTCATGTATGGATGTGAGAGTTGGACTGTAAAGAAAGCTGAGCACCAAAGGATTTATGCTTTTGAACTGTGGTGTTGGAGAAGACTGTTGCGAGTTCCTTGGACTGCAAGGAGATCCAAGCAGTCCATCCTATAGGAAATCAGTCCTGAATATTCTTTGGAAGGACTGATGCTGAAGCTGAAACTCCAATACTTTGGCCACCTGATGTGAAGAACTGACTCACTGGAAAAGACCCTGATGCTGGGAACAATTGAAGGCAGGAGGAGAAGGGGACGACAGAGGATGAGGTGGTTGAATGGCATCACCAACTCAATGGACATGAATTTGTGAAGGCTCCTGGAATTGGTGATGGACAGGGAAGCCTAGCGTGCTGCAGCCCATGGGGTTGCAAAGAGTTGGACACGACTGAATGACTGAACTGAGCTGATAGTGACAGGGTAACAGGCAGGAAGGCCAGGGGTCTCCGGACAGAGAAAATAGGCTGTAAGTGTCAGACATTTTTCTCTCTCTTAAGCAGCAGGAGCAAACAAACTAGTGGTATTTTTTTTTTCTCTATACAAATTTAAAAGGAGGTTTCTCTTCAAATACTGTGTTGCCATAATGACACCTGGTTTCACTTGAAGTTAACTATTCTCAAACCTTGAGTTAACCAATGCATTTTTCTTATGGAAATGTTTGTCTTAANAGCTGAGACTCCAATACTTTGGCCACCTCATGCGAAGAGTTGACTCACTGGAAAAGACCCTGATGCTGGGAGGGATTGGGGGCAGGAAGAGAAGGGGACAACAGAGGATGAGATGGCTGGATGGCATCACTGACTCGATGGACATGAGTTTGAGTCAACTCCGGGAGTTGGTGATGGACAGGGAGGCCTGGTGTGCTGCAATTCATGGGGTCGCGAAGAGTCGGACACAACTGAGTGACTATACAACATCCAGCTGAAGACTAGCAGGAGTGTACTCTTTCTGCCCCCTTTTGATGCCTATGTCAGAAGCTTTCTCTATCTTCTTTATACTTCAATAAAACTTTATCACACAAAAGCTCTGAGCGATCAAGCCTCATCTCTGGCCCCGGATTGAATTCTTCTCCTCCAGAGGTCAAGAATCCTGGTGTCTTTTTGTGGGCCAGCAACAACCTTTCAATAGCTAGAGTGATCAGGAAAAAAACAATAGACATGAATTACTAATACCAGGAATGAAAGGAGGGACATCATGACAAATCCTACAGGCATTAGAAGTGGAAATTATGAACAGCTTCAAGCAAGCAAATTTCTTGAAATAAATATATTATTAAAGTTCACATAAAGGGTAAGGCCTGGCCCGAAGGCCCTGAGAGCAATCGGAGGGAGCTCTTTTAAACTGTGGGATAGCAAGGGAGAAAATTAACCAGCCGGAACACACTGCCGGCAGTTCGCAAAACAAAGGGACTGAGAAACTCCAGAGAAGCGCCGGCCCATCCGCACTGGAGGTAGGAGGCAGAGAGGAGGGGAAAGGGGCAAACTCAGCCCCAGAGAAGCCACCCTCTCCCACACAACAGGCCCCTGGTTTCTATCTAAAGACTTCCGGAGACCCGACCGGCGGCGCACGCTGGGGCCGCGGAGGGAAAAGGTGCGCCGTACCCGGGGAGAGTGCACCCAAGCCCCTGGCTGCCTGAACCGCTCAGGCTGGGGAAGGCACAAAACGCAGGCGCAACCGAATCCGCGCTTTTGTGGAGTAGCCGAAAACTGGAACCGCACTCAACACAGGGCCAGCTCCATATAGAGCAGCCGGGAGCCTGAGCAGTGTAGAAGGGAAAGCACAGACACCCATGAGCGGGTCAAAGGGGAAAGCACAGACACCCGTGAGCTGGGCAAACCCAGTGTGGCCGGAACACTGTGAGTGCTATCCACACACAGTGATATCTGTCTGCAGCGCCCAGCCCTCCCCATAGCAGGACTGAACTGAACTAGTGAATCTAAATAAGAGATCACCTCCGCCCGCCTGTGTCAGGGCGGAAATTAGACACCGAAGAGACAGCAAACAGAAGCCAAATAAACAAAGGGAACCGCTTCAGAAAGGACAGGTGCAATAGATTAAAATCCCTGAAGGTAACACTGACTACACCAGGAGGGACCTATAGATATTGAGAAGTGTAAGCTGGAAAGAGGCGCTATCTGAAATTGAACTGAACCTACACTGACCGCAACAGCTCCAGAGAAATTCCTAGATATATATGTATATTTTTTAATTAAAAAAATTTTTTTTCTTTCCTTTTTTTCATTATTATTATTTTTTA